CGGGTGAATAAAACGTTCATATTTTTTAGAGTTTTTCCATGAGGTATTCTTCAAGTTGCTCCATGTCTGTCACTAGATATAATTGACTCGATATGTTTTTGAGGGTGCAATGGTGGAGCTGTTGACGAAAGCGACGTCCTGACCAATCATAAGCTTGCATTCTCCATGTCATTCCACGAATGTTTAGAAAAGTGGGCTTGGCTCCGTTTGTCCTTGCGAGCCTGCTGGAGAGCCCTCGCAAGGACAGATAATGGCGTTGCGTGTCCCTTTTTCCGACGTAGAAGCATAAACTAGGCTTTATACCTCAATGTGTCACTTTGGGAAAACAAGCTGGAGCTGGTCACAAACACCCCTCCCCCACCCCGGCTGCTCATAGCTAAAAAGCTCTGATATCCAGGAGGCAAGTGCTCAGAGTAGAGCTGCTGCTCCTCTAGCAGCAGCTTCTCTCTTGCATGATATGAAGTTCTAATATTATTTCCTCTTTTAGTGACATCACAATTGGAGACTTTATGAAACAGATTGTTTTAGGCGTATAATTCCCAACCATTGTTCATTTGGAATGGCAGCACAAAAGGATGCAAAATGTGAGTTTTGTATAACGAGTTCCCTTTAAAGGAGAAGTTATTTCAGTGAGTTTATCATGAAACAGAAGAGCCAGGGAACCAATCATTATGAATTTTGGGCCGGACGAGTGTTACACCAAAAACATACTGACTTCAGAGATAATGTACACCGCTCACAAAAATTAAAGGAACACTTTAAAGAAACACATTAGATACGTCAGATCTCAATATGAAGTTGGATAACTATACAAATAACGACAGGGCAATGTCTTAGGAACAAAAGGATGCCAAGTCTTTTAATGGAAATAAAAGTTATCAGCCTACAGAGGGCTCAATTGTGTAGACAACCTAAAATCGGAGTGAAATGAAGATGTGGCAGGCTAGTCCATTATTTCAAAAACTTAATTTCTGCAACTCAAATTGCCTTTCAGTATCTTGTGTGGCCCCCACGAGCTTGTGCGCATGCTTGACAACATCGGGGCATGCTCCTAATGAGACAACGAAAGGTGTCTTGTGGCATTTCCTCCCAGATCTGTGTGAGGGCATCCCTGAGCTCTTGTACAGTCTGAGGAGCAACCTGGCGTCGCCTAATGGACCGAAACATAATGTCCCACAGATGTTCTATTGGGTTTAAGTCAGGGGATCGTAAAGGCCATTCAATTGTTCCAGTTCCTTCATCCTCCAGGTACTGCCTGCATACTCTTGCCACATGAGGCCAGGCATTGTTGTGCATTAGGAGAAAACCAGGATCTCCTGCATCAGCGTAGGGTCTGACAAAAGGTTCAAGGATTTCATCTTGATACCTTATGGCAGTCAGAGCACCATTTAGAGGTCTGTGCGTCCCTCCATGGATATGCCTCCGCAGACCATCACTGACCCACCAAACCTGTCATGTTGAACGACGTTGCAGGCAGCATGTGAGCATTGTGAGCAGTGTATTAACTCATTCACTGCCAGCCGTTTCCTGATCGCTAACGGCCTTCGCTGCCAGCGTTTCTCACCGTTTTTACTGTTTTTTAAGAGTCGCAGAACGTTGCGCGCTAGCATGATGTCGATGCCAAAACAACCTAAACAAAGAGTAGACTCACCTCTTACATCAGGAAGAAGCCGTGTCTTTCGAGCGTTATCCGTTCTTTCATAATCCGTTGTCGAATTGTGATCGGCAGACGCTTTTCCGGTTCGCGCCTCACTTTTTTTTTACAGGAACGGCCCAACACGATCTCGAAACACATGGACGGTCTGCTTCCTGATCATGTGATCTGTGATGTATGCGGATGAAGATCGGCTTCAGGGCTGAGATGTTTGTTCTCTCAGCGCGGGGGCTCGTTCCAAAGCTCAAACAGTCAAAAAAAATGCAAATGACGACTTTAGTCGTCATTGGCAGTGAACGGTTGGATCTAAAATGACGACTTTAGTCATCAATGGCAGTGAATGAGTTAAGGAGCAAAAGTACAATAGTAGACTGAATATAGAACTGAAGCTATAAACACACATTATTAATTATTGAAGTGATCTACTAGCTCTGTGTGAGGTGGAGTAATTCTGACGGGATAGTAGCTGGTGTTTCTCCTCGATGCCCCCTGATTTAATTACACACAAACACACACACACACACACACACACACACACACACACACACACACACACACACACACACACACACACACAATTACGTGAGCAACCATTCACCATGTCACCTTGATGAAGCTCCTGGCGCTCTTCTGGGGCTGTTTTAAAGCCCAGACATCCTTAGCCATTACTCAGGTGATATGCCAACAGCCAGTGATCAATGTGTCTCTAATAGTGGCAACAGGACGGAGCAAAAAGGGAGAGAAAGGCAATGAAATTGATAGAGAGAGAGATAAAGATAAGCATGGAGAGGGACTGCACTTTTACCAGCTCATTTATCACCCTGTTAGTTGGGACTGGCCCTAAACCTGCAGCTGTAATAGCCTGTCTGCTTGGAGTATTTACAGGTGCCGTCACAAGCAGCTGCATTTATCTGGGCACTTGAATCAGAAGCCTTTATTATCGTGTCTTCACCATTGTGTGTCCAGGTGTGTGTGTTCTCTGAAAATCAGGCAGAATGGCGTTTCAGCAGGACAGAGGAAAGCTCAGGGTGGGAGGTTGTTGATTGTGAGGTGGACTTCACTCCTTTAAAAGTTCACCTAAATCCTGAGGTCATTGTTCACGTTTCTGTTTGTTTGTCTGTGTGACCTTCAACCTGCTCATCCATCTTCCCGTCTGTCATTGGGTCTGTGAGCAGGTTAACACCCAGTGAACCCCATGGTTTTAAAGGGGCAGCAGTTTTAGGACCACTATGAATCATAAAAGGGAGGATTTTTACTGATGGGGAAACAAAGCCAATAACTTTTCAGTTTTGAGCTTGCATGGGAAAGGGAAGAAGGAGTGAGGCGGGGGAGGGGATCTAAAGTGTGTGTGGAGGGGGGTGCAGCTGAGAGAGCCAAGAGTGCCAGGCGATGCTGGAGGGAGGAAAAGGGAGGCGAGGGGTGCGTCTGGAAAGCATCAAGTCGTAGCTCAACATGTGCGTTGTGTAGCTCCTCTGGTCTCTGGCTTGTTAACCTGGGGGTCACGGGCAGCTTCAGGTGATGAAGTCAATGCTGGCACACAAGATGGGAATAACGACCTCTTCCATTGAAATCACTGGCTCATGAATAAACACATGTACTTAGAAGCACATGCAGAACCGCTCGTCCGTGGTCTTTCTAATAGTAATGCGATACTTCTGAGGAATTTAGCTGTTTTGTTTTCTGAAAACAGGTCTGTTTATAAAAGCCTGAAATATTCCGAAAAATTATATAAGTTTACGGGAAAACTGACATTTGGATTGTCTGAAATTAGGTAAAATCATTCAATTTAGTTTGATGGCATGAGGGGAAGCCCTTTTTGCTCTAAGTGTTCGGTCTGAACACTGTTGTGTTATAAAGTATCTCTGCAGAGAGAGAGAGAGAGAAGCTGGCATGGTGTTTGTGTTTTGCCTTGAGACCTGGATGGGGTCGGTATTCAATTACACGAACTGGTGTCGCTGAGGCGAGGTGGGGTGAGTCGGCTCGAAAGCCGAGAAGTGAGAGGGTGACAGATGAACAGGGTGATGGGGGGGGGGGGGGGGGGGTTGAGCAATTAAGCTAGAGTCTGACACCTAAAACAGCTCTCATGCTCTGGCACAGGCTATTGTGGCGTGGAATCTGAGAAATGCATTTGATCGGCGCGGTGTGTGTGTGTGTGTTATTTTGGACGACTCCTGGGGACAAAACAGCCACCAGAGAAGAGAAAGGGAAAAGAGGGAGGGGGCGGCTGAGAGCAAGGGTTACCTGGCAAATGCATCAGCTTTCATCACATAGATGAGTGCTTTTATCTTTGAACTAGTGTGTGTAGCCTTCATTATTCACAAATCTCTGCAAACTTGATGGAAACTTCTGCATTAACTCTGCTTGCTGACTGTACAGGAAAAAAAGAGCGAAGAACATTCTAGTTGATTTCATGGGGATAATAGGAGTGGAAAGGAGGGACCAAAGATATTTTATCACTCCAACTCCCACCTCACTTAAAGGGAATCCCAGCTTTTCTTTTTGACCTCAACATTCCTGAGTCTCAGAGTGAATTCAAGGCCAGAATGAGTAAGATCAGCATTCACCTCAGGAGTACTTTAGGTAATTAGTACAAACCTCTGCCCTGCAGTTTGACGGTTGAATAACCGAAGGAGAAACACACACCACCGTTCTGGCTTCAGTGTCTACGATTAAAGCCAACTTGCTCCCAAGTGTTGGGGTTCTACATCTAATACCTTGGGGTTAGACGCCTTCGAAACGAAGTCTTGAGATGATGCATGATATGAACCCAACAAGGAGTCTAAAGAGTTTCATCATTTAGAAGGAACTGCAAATGCAGTTTAGACATGTGAAAGGTGAGGGGCCTCAGCTGGGGGTTTCAGTGATCAACTCCATGGGAATGCGAATCGTACCAAACTGTGCGTTTAGTGCTTTTCTGGTAATTGCTGCAATTTGATTAATTTTATAAACTGAAATAAATATTCACAACCTAAATTGTTTCAATACAATCTTGTTGCCAGAGTAAATTTTCATTAGGCTCAAATCTGAGGAAGTTGCTGGTGTTTAACAACATTTATAAAGAATGAAGGGAAATATTTAGAGCTCAACACACTGTTATAGTTTTAAAACCTTTATTTCTTTGATTAAATAACTAGGTAGATAAAGCAGGTGTTAAAATCCTCTTCAAATGCAACTTGAGTCTGTTTAAAACGTTTTATGGTGAATGTATCGCCATCTATTGGCTAAACTGAGAACTGCAGCAAAATATTTCACATATCTAAGTCTAGGTTGCAGAGTGACATCTAGAGGTGGGTCCTTAGAGGTAACCTGCATGTCCAATGACGTTTGAGCAAAAAAAGAAAGAACATAGTTATACAAGGTGTTTATTTTAGGTGAAAAAAGCATTATGGTGTGGCAGTATAAATATTCCTGGCTCTGTGGTGAAACTGGAAACATTTCACTACAACAGGAGAAGAGACTATCTTTATTAGTCCAGTTAACATGTAGAGTGACTTTCAGGTGAACCAGCATTAAGGAGAAGAGTGATTCTCCTCCATTGAATTTTTAAATCTGGGTGTAGCGCAGGTATTTTTTCCCCGAAGGCAGGTCTTTGGTCGTCACCCCGTTGGGAAAAAGATCAGCAGCTTCAGAATCAGAGAGGGAAGGGATGACCATGACTTTGTCACCGGGCTGGAGAGAAGGGGAAAGTACATTTTAAAATCAGGGTGTAGTTCTGTCACAATGAGAATGTAGCAGAAGGATTTTATGACTCAACTGAAATTAGACTGTGTGAAGTTTTTTTAATCATTTAACACTGAAAAGCTACTTGGTACAGCTTTATTATAAATGAAGTCGCATATCTCAATGGTCTAGTGGTGGAGTGTCCACCCTGGGACTGGGAGATCGGGGTTCAAATCCCAGCCAGGTCATACCAAACACCTTAACAATGGGACCCAATGGCTCCTGGCTTGACACTCAACTTTAGAGGGGGATTGGGGGGGTTAAACCACCAAATAGTTCCCGAGCGCAGCCACAGATCACTACAGGGAGGGGTCAAATACAGTGATGAATTTCACCAGTGTGTGGTGATGATGACCATGGGACTTTAAGTCTACTCCCTTTTCTACTCCCCGCAAGAATGAAAAAATAAATCCAGGTGAACGGAGAACAAAGTTATTTTCTAATCCGCTTTGCCTTATGCCCTGGATCGCACATATGTGGTATTTCAATTTAAATGAAAGGTAATGATGGGTGTTTCAACCACACCCATCATGTACTTTGAAATTCATCAGCTTGTAAAAGTTTGTAATTAGTAGGACTACAAATCAGACGTCGGTACGTTGCATATCACAGAACCTCCTCTCCCCTATCTTTGCTGCTACTTACCACATGGACAGATTTAAAGTCAAATTCTTTCCTCCTGAAGGAAGGATTTGAAGTTCGCTACACTTACAGCCATTTTTACTCTGCTCTTCTCCGTGTCTGGTTCAATTACATCAATTTGGTGATGCACATTTGTAGCCCTGGACTTATTTTCACACAAAACCTAAAATAGCACCCCCCCCCCCCCCCCCTTCAAAATAAGGGCGTTCTTGGCATCAAAATGAGTTTTTAATATTCACGGACATCATATGTGAAATCCATAGCACATAAGGGGAATTAGAAAACAGCATTTTTAGCCCCCATGACTTGCATTAATTTTTTCGTTCTTCTGGGGGCCCATGGTCCAGAAGTTGTGAATTAGGCTCCATGTAGATCTGACAAAACAAAGAGCCAAGTGTGCCCCTAATCGTCCACCGAGACAGATCTGTCTCCACATCAACACCAGATGTAAATCAGCTCTTAAAGACGACACCGCCCACATCTACTAAAACTTTACTGCATGCAGAAATCACCAACAGGCTAGCCACAGAAACCCCTTGGCAGAGGTGACTTATTTAACCAGTTATTTTGTCACAGTGGGGCTAAAGTCGTACATGCTAAACCTCCTTTTGCTGGTTTAAACATCCACTCTAAAGTTCACGTTTAAATTAAAAGCTGCTTTTGTGCAAAGTTTTAATAAAACATTAACTAAACATTCCGTTCTGTGCAAAGTGCTTGTGTGTGTTCCCACAATTATTTTTTTATTATTTCCTGTGATTTACAACATCTAAATGTAAATTTTTCCCAATGGGATATTTCATTATTTTAGTATAAAGGATAGATGCAAAGTCAAATTTCAGATGTTGTGCTTGAGGCCCAACAAGAATTGTTCTGATGTTGCAGGCAGGAAGGCCATATACAGGTCCTTCTCAAAAAATTAGCATATTGTGATAAAGTTCATTATTTTCTGTAATGTACTGATAAACATTAGACTTTCATATTTAATAGATTCATTACACACAACTGAAGTAGTTCAAGCCTTTTATTGTTCCCAATATTGATGATTTTGGCGTACAGCTTATGAAAACCCAAAATTCCCATCTTAAAAAATTTGCATATCATGAAAAGATTCTCTAAACGAGCTATTAACCTAATCATCTGAATCAACTGATTAGCTCTAAACATCTGTAAAAGATTCCTGAGGCTTTTAAAAACTCCCAGCCTGGTTCATTACTCAAAACAGCAATCATGGGTAAGACTGCCGACCTGACTGCTGTCCAGAAGGCCATCATTGACACCCTCAAGCAAGAGGGTAAGACACAGAAAGACATTTCTGAATGAATAGGCTGTTCCCAGAGTGCTGCATCAAGGCACCGCAGTGGGAAGTCTGTGGGAAGGAGAAAGTGTGGCAGAAAACGCTGCACAACGAGAAGAGGTGAAAGGACCCTGAGGAAGATTGTGGAGAAGGACCGATTCCAGACCTTGGGGGACCTGCGGAAGCAGTGGACTGAGTCTGGATTAGAAACGCCCAGAGCCACTGTGTACAGGCGTGTGCAGGAAATGGGCTACAGGTGCCACATTCCCCAGGTCAAGCAACTTTTGAACCAGAAACAGCAGCAGAAGCACATGACCTGGGCTACAGAGAAGCAGCACTGGACTGTTGCTCAGTGGTCCAAAGTACTTTTTTGGATGAAGGCAAATTTTGCATGTCATTTGGAAATCAAGGTGCCAGAGTCTGGAGGAAGACTGGGCAGAGGGAAATGCCAAAATGCCTGAAGTCCAGTGTCAAGTACCCACAGTCAGTGATGGTCTGGGGTGCCATGTCAGCTGCTGGTGTTGGTCCACTGTGTTTTATCAAGGGCAGGGTCAATGCAGCTAGCTATCAGGAGACTGTGGAGCACTTCAGTGGAGATTGCATGCAGCTGTGCATACTCCATGTTTGATACATCACAAACCTACTTGGCGCAAGTACATTTTTTGCTGAGCTTATGTACGGTTTTAGTAAGGATTCTACGTAATGTTTGGTAAAAGAGAACCCTGACCTGAACCCCATAGAGATTCTTTGGGATATTGTGAAGAGAAAGTTGAGAGACGCAAGACTCAACACTCTGGATGAGCTTAAGGCCGCTATCGAAGCATCCTGGGCCTCCATAACACCTCAGCAGTGCCACAGGCTGATTGTCTCCATGCCACGCCGCATTGAAGCAGACATTTCTGCAAAAGGATTCCTGACCAAGTATTGGGTGCATAACTGAACATAAATATTTAAAGGTTGACCTTTTTTGTATTAAAAACACTTTTCTTTTATTGGTCAGATGAAATTGCTAATTTTTTTGAGATAGGAATTTGGGGTTTTCATGAGCTGAATACCAAAATAATCAATATTAGAAACAATAAAAGGCTTGAACTACTTCAGTTGTGTGTAATGAATCTAATATATATGAAAGTCTAATGTCTATCAGTACATTACAGAAAATAATGAACTTTATCACAATATGCTAATTTTTTTTGGGTGGGCCTGTATATATGCATGCAGGAAATAAGATGGTTAAACGTCCCCAAGTAGAACTTTCCTCCCAAGCATGCAACATCTGAGATGTTCCTTGGTTACACTTACTCTTGTTAAGTAGAACAACTCCTTGTGTCCTCTAATCATTGTGATCATCTGGATACAGACTAGCACGAGTTGGTAAGACGCTGCTGCAGCAACTTTGTGATGAAACAATAAAAATTCCTGGTATGCAAGCGCCATTTGGAAACATTGAAAATTCCCAGTGACTACTGAGGGGGGAATAGTTTCAAACATGTCCTCATCTCATTTAAAACTCTTCTGGACAAAATAGTCTTAACCTGGTATGATTTTATTGTGATTTTACCCATCTACCCCAAGAAGGAGTCAAATATTTAGGGATCATCATTGCTGGACATCCTGGACTCCCTGCTTTAGTCTGTGAGGCAGACACCTTGTCTACTTTTAGTCTACTAGAGTAGCTGTTTTATTCATAATTCTACCACAAGGTGGGTGAGAAGTTGCAACTGGTCAGCGAGTAACCGAATGTTTTCATTCTAAACTTTCACTGAAGGAGGCTACATGCTCTAGCTGCCATGGTTGGCTCTACTGATGTTGTGTGACACATGATGGGTTAAACCATGTTTACCTAAATAAATCCCATATTCCTATAATAAATGTACAGGGTTCCCCCAGCGTTTTATAAGCCCGACGGCCCCCCACGCTTTGCTTGGCCACCCGCCAGGCTAAGCGTCATGCCCCCTCCCCAACCCTACCGTGTCTGCTGACACGAACGACGCAAGGAAACTAGAACCCTCCATCAGCCGATAATGGTGAGAAACAGCAGCGGAATGTGTGCAAACCCCCCACCCCCACTCATGGAGGAGCACTGCGGGATGGGGTGCGCTACCCCCCCCCCCCCCCCGGGGGGGGGGAAACCCTGATGTAGTACATGTGATCATGACGTAAAGACATTAATATCTCTGTTAGCTTAGCTTTTGTTCAAATAAATGCAAAAGCAAAGAGCTCTGAACACCAATGTGCTTCGTCTGTATTATCCTGCAACATTGTCTGCACATTTCACTCTGCTTCCACTCTTTCATGGAGTTTTATTAACCAGTAGGAAACGCCACAGCAGAAGTGCGGGACATCACACAGCAGAGGGGCTGACTTATTAACTGGGTTGTGGAAAGCCATCACTCACACAGGGACAGAGACACAGACCGATTTTACGGTTTACCTTCCAGTCAACAGGTGTAGCAACCTTCTTCTGTGCAGTCAGCTGCAGAGAGTCGATGACTCTGAGGATCTCATCAAAGTTCCTTCCTGTAGTGGCAGGGTAGAGGATGGACAGCTTCAGCTTCTTATCCGGGCCGAACACAAAGACCTAGGGTGAAAACAGAAGACAGGTTAAGATACTCCTAAGGGACAAAAGTATCACCATGGTGACTGCGTAAACTGAAACTAGGGGTCCTTACACAGCGAGCAGTGAGTGCCTGTCCATCTTTTCCCCTCTCGTCAGGATCCAGCATCCCCAGCTGGACTGCCAGCTCTCTCTTGTCGTCAGCAATGATGGGGTACGGCAGCGCTTTGTCAGCCGCGTCACTGTAGGCCATCACATCCTGGGCAGAGGGAAGAGACATGGTCTTTTTTGGGTCGTTTTATTTTTTTTTTTTTACATCATTTTAAAAGCATCCTTGTTTATAATATTATTCAGCTCCTGTACTTAAAAACACACCCTCAACTTCTAATCATTAGCAGTGAATATAGAGCAGTCACTGATGTGTTTAACATCAAACACTGAAATCCATCACATATTCTTGCATCGAGCCATGATGGGAATGAATGATAATTAGCATTAAAAGCATTAGCGTGATAACCACATTTAATGATAAATCCACCCAAAAATAAAACACAATGGTGGTAGAGTTGGGATGTACCTTGCTCCATTTGCGGTGATCATCAACACTATCGATCGACAAGGCAATCATCTTCACATTTCGTTTCTTGAACTCGTCGCTTAGCTTAGCAGCACGTCCGAGTTCAGTGGTGCAGACAGGAGTGAAGTCAGCTGGGTGGGAGAAGAGGATTCCCCACCTGCGCAGGAAAATGAGTAATTTTCGTAAAAATAAAGCTTCAACTCTCCATGAAAGCTTTGAATCACCATGACTCAGCATAACAGACCCTATAATAAAGGTTTACAAGTTGGCTGATTGCATCAGTCGAGTCACAAGATTAAGTGGCCTGAAGCTAAATCACAAGATCGAGAACTTTGTACTTTTCCAAAGCTTCACTGATGTGTTGAGAAAATCTAAAGTCTTTTGCTTTGATTTTTAAAATGCAAAAGAATGAGATTTCTTAAAATGAAGTGGAAAACAAATAAGAATGACACAGCAAAAAACAAACAAAAAACAAACAGGGATTAAGTTTCAGCACAGATATTTTTTGACAGACACTCAGGGGGTGGGGAACACTGGTCTTCAAGGGCTGCTATACAGCATGTTTTAGTTGTTTCTCTGGTTCACAACTTCTGATTCAGTGGTTCAATCACCTGTTCACCAGCTCATTGAGCTCAGTAGACGCCTGTTAATCATCTGCTGGTTAAAATTGGGTGTGCTGAAGCAGGAAAACAACAAAAACATGCAGGATAACGGCCTTCTGGGTTCTAATTGAATCAACAAGCATCTGCAATTCCTGAAGAATCAAACTCAAGAATTACTCCAGCTGTCATGGGTGTGCCAACCATTTCCTGCAAAGCGAAACAATGTATTGTGACTTATCACATGAAACGGGGAGGAGAAGATCCATGCTCCCCTTATGCACCAGGATCATGACTGTTGAGAAGCCCAGAAAAGGTCAGGACAATCCTAAAATGTTTTCTTCCACTGCTAAACAAGCGACTTTTAGGCTTGAAAAGTGGCGACCTAAAGTTTATTCTTCAGGAATAAAGCTTCCGCTGGTGTTGGCAGGAACAAGCGTAACTGATGGGAAACAACAGTGAGCCTAATGAAGTGGGACACGACTTTAACAGATGACCGCCACACAATCCAGCAGAGATTCCCGATGAGGAGAGAGGGAAATGGTTATTGTGCGGTCACTCCAACTGATGTCTCTCACTGTCAAAGCCAAGACTTCAAAGATTACATCCACTCTGAGAAGTTGCACTGGTCCTTGTCCATATGTTATCTTCATTTAAATAAAAAGAACAAACATTGGGCATGGGGCTAAACAAATCTACATTAGAAGGAAGGATTGGTTAGAGGCAACAGTAGTTCTGTATTAACCAAACTGAAACAAAATGTGTACCCCCCCCCCCCCCCCCATTGTTTTAAAACCGTAGTAGGCAAGCACTGCTACAAGATTGCTGAATGTTTGTTTAAAGCAGAAACATTATTCTATAAATAATGCAAAACAAGGATTTGCTAAAACGTGATCCAGAAGATGTGCATATTTACACAGTTCATGTCCAAACTAGACAACAAGTGTGCATAAGTGTACACAAACACCGGAAACAGAGCATTTTCTAATAGAATACACATCTAACCTAATCTGATGAGAAAGTGAAATACTGAAGTGCATTTTATCTTGTTTTAGTTCACTACTTCAAATTAATTGTTGCTTAAAAAGCTGTAACCAATTACTAAAGCAGACATTTGTATAAAATAATCATAAAAACCATACGGGTATCTCACACACAGATCTGTTATGTTCTATTCTAATATGTGGAAATATTGGCATCCTAACCTTTATGTGACAATGAAACAGCTTGCATTTATTTAACTTATTCTACTTATTTATGTTTTTATTATCTGTTATGGACCTTCTTGTGTCTTTAATAAAGTGACATATCTGTACTGTATAAAATAATCATAAAACCATACAGGTGAGAAGAGATCCGTTTTACTTCTTTAAAATAATCATGTTGGTGATTTTTTTGTTAGTTTACTATCATGTTACATGGTGTGAGGGACCAGTGGTGAAGCATGAGGCCTCACAGGAATACTTTAGAAAAATAGGGTTCATTTTTTATCTTTTGATTATCAACACAAGAACTTAATTTAACAAAGATAAATGCTGAGCTCATAAGAGGTCAAATAACAGAACTCAGGCAAAAATGTGAGCAAAGCAACTGGCTACACAAACAAACTTAACTGACCTCCCAAGAACAGACACACGGGGTATATATATAATCAAACCAATACAAACAATGGGGGTCACCTAAACAATACAACACTCACAATAAACACAATCAGTGTAGTCCAGCTGTTTGGTAAACTAAACATCAAAGAAGAGACTAATATTTACTAATTTAAATACAAATACCTAATCAAGAAAACAAAAGCCAATTTTACTCAAGCATACACTAATTTCACCTATCCATCAGGAACTGGTGGCGCAGTCCAATTAGCTTGCAGATATTTAACTGCTTGGAGCCCTGGCCACCATCTTTGTTTGGCCACTCCCAGAGATCACAGCAGGTCAATCGACTTGTTTAAGTGTGGCCTGATGTTGGGCCATCACACATGGTTTGTTTGTTTAACAAGTCTCTTCAATAAAAAACAAAAACTACTTATGCAAACAAATTGTTTCATCACATCATCACTATCAGCAGGTAAGTCAGTCAGGTGTGTACTATAAATTAGAGTCAAATGAGCTAAAATATTTCACTTTGATGTACAACTTAGAAAATAACGAGTGTAGTCGTGTTTCAGGGATACTCATTCTACAGAGATTAGGAAACAGACACGCTGACCCAAAAGCATCACACAAAGCGTGTACACTCACGAGTCTCCCAGAAAATCGTGAAATGTGATCCTTCCGACCGTGGTGTCGGCCTCGAAGTTTGGCACAACGTCGCCGAGCAGAAGTCCAGGCATGGTTCGGCTCTAAACACAACAGAAGGAAGGGAGTGAGTCAGCCTAACAACGCCACGCGCCTCACGCTGCTCTGTTGCTTATGAACAGAACCCGGATAAGGGCGGGGCTAAGGCAAGATTCTGACCAATCAGAAAGCAAAAGAAAGACACGTATTGTCGTCGTCCCCCCCCCCCCCCAAAAAAAAATTAGATTAACTAAAAATAAGTACTGAAATATTAAATTAAAATTACATTAAAAGGGTGAAACATAAAAATCCCGCACCAAGAAAACCAACCCTACCGTTGAAAAATAATTATCTGTTATTGTCCCTCCCCGTTCAGGCGATAGACTCTTTGCCTTTTCCTACTCAATTTCCCAAAAGTCTTTGCGACAAGAACAACAAATATGGCGGTTCGGTTTGGCGTACCTGGACGTGATAGGAATTGTCAAATGAACAACAGATGAATTAACGAAGTGACAACCCTCAGAACAGTATAGTACATTTATTTATTTGGTTCGGATACATAACGTCACATCCTCCTGCCAGCATCGGTGGATTATTCGATAAAATGCCCTCTCCTAAAGCTAAAAACCCCGGTCGCAGCGGAGGAAGCCCGGGGCTCTCCGGCAGCTCCTACGAGTTTTTCTCGTCGACGAAGCAGACGAGCCGCTCTTCACCGTCTCACCTTCAGCGACAGGGTTCCGACCCGACCACCGCCCGCCTTCGAGCCTCGGAGAGCCCCTCTCGGCGCCGGGGCTCCAACTCCTCCACGGGCTCGGCGAGCGGTCAGGGGCCACCTGAGGAGGACGGCATACGGCTCAACCCCTCCCTGATCCGCGTTTCGCTCAGCTCCTTGCTCGCCATCGACTTGTGGTTGTCCAAGCGGCTGGGTGTGTGTGCCTGCGAGGACTCGTCCTGGGGCAGTGTGCGCCCCTTAATGAAACTGATAGAGGTGTCAGGTCATGGCATCCCGTGGCTGGCCGGTGCCGCATACTGTCTATATAAAAGCGACAGTGCTGCAGGACAAGAAGTCATGCTCAATCTCCTCATGGGTAAAGCTACTGTCTGTTATGTGTTCTTTATGTTGCTGCTGCATGTAAACAGCACAGATACAACACCATTCAAACACGATCCAGTTATTCCTGCTACACACAATCAGAATCTAATCATCTTCTGCATCTGATCTCTCCTCCCTTTGTAACTAATCTGACTTATGTTTTTTGTCGTTATCGATGCTTCCCTACTAACACAGGTCCGTTGCAACAACGTAGTCGCAACGTATTTTCTGACACCTTGTGATGTTGCAGGAAAGTCGCATGTTAACGCATTATTCCCAGCTTGATTGCCATTTATCAACCTCATACATCACTTTGACCAGATCTAGATTGCTACATATGTGGTATTTCTTACAATGGACTGATGGTACTTTCAACACTGACAAAACACAATCAAAACTTTATTACAGAGGAAGAAAAAGACAGTTTATTAATTTTAATAATCATGGCTGTGTTTTCAGAAGGAGTTTAGGTCAGTTATTACAAAGTCAGAAATGGTCAACACCATGTTTCTGCACCAATGTTTTCCTTTCATTACTGTTGTGATTATTCACCATTCTTGCACCATTTTTTAACCTTAACCTAGCCGATTGTCAGACAGCCAATATGGTTGGAAATAGCCTGGCTGACCGCCATTCCCTGGTTGTTTTGGATCCCAGGAGAGGTCCGTTAGTCCACATATTACCAAAAGTAGACTTATGAAACTACTTATAAAACTAAAGTACTGGCCATGATTCATAAGCTTCAGTTAATCTCATTTTGTCTATCATTTAATTATGCAGAGAAATGTATTATTTCTTCCTGGGGATCCTAGCCACGCTTTTCATGGACCCGTAAGGAATCTATGTGTAAAAGGTGTGAAAGTCCTTATCCTAACTGGACCATCTGGTGTTTTTCTTCAGGTGTTTAAGTTAGTCTATATGTGCAGATGGTGAGCAGACACAACAATCCTAAGTTTACTTTTCTTTAAGGAGGAACTGACCATTCAAGACAAAAAGAGAATCTTGGAGGCATGTTAATAATAAAGAGGTCAGCCACGATCAGAATCAAGACCTTGAAGTTTTACAAAAATCTGCAATCAGAATCATGAAAGAAAACTACAATCAGTGGATATCAAGTTAACAGCCAATATTATGGGACACTGACTGAAGGGTTTTGACTCTTTGACTTGTTACTTATGCAACATGTCAGGTTAGAAATTATGGTTCAGGATATTGAGGCAAAACTACAGTCTCTATAAAGAAAACAAAAATCTAACCATTTGACAACATTTACATGACTTTAAAATAGCAAAATCAAATAAATACAATTTTATTTAAAGTGCAAATTTTGCTGACATCACTTTGAGTTGAATTGGTGATTGGCTCAGTGTCGCCTGACTTTAACATGAATTTTTTAACACTTCAGCTCCTGAGGATAAAATATCCCCCAATTAATGAATAATTCAGCTACTCATTCTAAAAACTGCATAGCTCGTTTGATCAGTCCTGCTTAACAGGACCTTTCTTTGTGTGTGAAACCTTTTAACACTGAAATCAGTTCTCAATAAATCTGCGTTGTGAAGAAAGCACCATTGTCAGAGCTGCCCCCTTCCAACCACCAGATGAGGCCAAAGTAACAACATTTTAAATCCCAGCAGAAAGCCACATGGCTGTTTCTCAGGTTAGACCATTGTTGTCCATGCCATGTTCTCGAGTGCTCATATCCAGCATGTTTTAGTTGTTTCCCTGCTCCAGCACACTTGAATTGAATTGGTGGTGATTAAAATGCTTCTGCAGACATTCACAAGCTGCTCTATATTGGTGGGTGACTTAAAGTGGTGTTATTAACCTACTAAAATACATCATTTCATAAAGTTAATGAGCTCTTTTTATTTAGGGATTGACCAATAAATCCAGCCAATAATTACATTTTATTTATTTATTGGCAACAAACAATATATCCCATTAGTAGAGCCGATTTAAAGTCGGGCACATCCACAGGCAGACCGGTGCTGCCGCCAAATTTATTTAAATGTTTATTTACATTTTAGTAGAAAATTTGCTTAAATGCTCTGAAACATTACTGTCAGCTGACATTTCTATTTACTCACCTGTTTTTGTTTTTATATTTAAAATTCAGTTTATTGGTTTGTTTGATTAACTTTGGTTAAATGTTGGATTTTATTACTGAGCAGTGCACAAGATTAAGATTCAACAGTTGGTTAAATCCATCATTCAGAGATCAAAAAGGGATCAGGTTTCAGAAGTGTTGTGCTTCAGCAGCACATATTGGCCATGAGCTGACCATAACCTGTCAATGTCACCACTGGTTTCTGCAGTAGAAACGGCATATCGATCAATATTTCTGCTACAGTTCTTTTATTAGTTAACTTACTGTATTTATTATGTTATATAGTATGTTGATTTAAATTAGTTTGATCGTAGGCTGATTTCATTGTTGAAAAAACTGATTTGTAAGTAGTAGATGCATCTGTAATTTACTTAAATGCTAATGACATAAAAGCTACTCTTTCTATTCTATTTTTCAAAGATGAGATTTCCCTACTAACTTCAGTTGCTGTCGTGTGTTTACATGTTTTCCTAACAAGCCTCTGCCTACACTTTTTTTTTTCCATTTATTTCATACTTTTTAAAAACATAACAAATTGAACAAACAAATAAAACTAACAAACACCTGAATGAAAAGGAGCAGATAGAAGAAAATCTGCCCCTCTCACACTCACTATTCATGCTAAATCTTTTGCTTACGCGGCTGTTTTAACACTCTCCATCTTTAATTGCAGGCCTTCTGCTGGACCTCATCCTGGTTGGTTTTGTCAAGGCAGTGGTGCGTCGGCGTCGGCCAGCTCACAACCAGATGGACATGTTTGCCACATTCTCTGTGGACCGTTATTCCTTCCCTTCTGGTCACGCCACCCGTGCCGCCATGTGTGGGCGCTTCCTGCTGGCTCACCTTGTGCTGGCTGCCCCCCTGAGGGTCCTGGTTTTCCTGTGGGTGGGTCTGGTGGGATTTAGCCGTGTGCTTCTAGGAAGACACAATGTTACAGATGTTCTCTTTGGGTTCTGGATGGGATATTGTCAGTACAAGCTGGTGGAGATGTTGTGGATCTCTCCTCAAACTCTGCAAGGGCTGCTGGGACTGTCGGCTTAACATGAGTGACTTTAGTGGAAGATGTCTTTATTTTAGAAGTTCCTGTTCACTGATGTACAAGATAAAATGTCTTTAGATGAAAGTTGGCTCAGTGGAATAATGTTTGCTCCCATTTTTTGCCAAATCACACATCTCACCAAACTAGTTAGCAATAATACAGAGATCAACCACAACATTAAACATCTGGTTAATATAGTAGAGGTCGCCTTCATAGAATAAAAACAGAGATGCCAGGGCAGGTGCACGGATGCTTTTCTAGAGGCACAGTGTTGGAAGATTCTCTGAGCCACATGCATGGTTGGTCATACTTTTATCCGGGGAGTTTGAAGGCCACTTCAGCACACGAGGCTCTTTGTCGTGTTCTTTGAACAATTGCATTTAGAAGTCCTAATGGTGTCCTAGGGTGTGTAGTACTGATCAGAGTCTGCTGCTGCTCTGGAACTTTGTTGTCTGGAAAATTTCTGCTCCGATTTCCAAGGGTTTGGTTTTTAGCTGAGTAGTTTATGTGTTAATGCCTGTACTCTTAGCAGGAGTTTTAATGTTGTGGCATCGCAGTTCAAGAAGAGGACACTTTAGTTAGTAATAAAAACAATGAAATTGTTTTAGTAACACAGTTAAAGCTTGAATATGAAACAATGTAATAAAAAACTACATTTAAATATTAATACCTCCAGGAGGTGTTTAGAGGTGTATTTTAATTAAAAAATAATCAAATATTTATTTTGACGGGCACAACACAGGGTTTATGTTGACATCTACCAGCCAATAGAGGGCACCGTTGCGGGTTGCCAAATACAGTAAACAGTCCGCTCAGCACAGCGAGGCTGGCGTTGTGGAAAATGGCAGACTAGACAAGTCACGCTGCTGCTTCTGAGCCCAGAAGATGTTCTAACGTTAAATGCTGTTGTGAAATGAATGTATTAGTAGAAATGAGTCCTTACCCTGTACGATTCATCGCTGGACATGGTTCTGGCTGGTCACTTCACCTATCGGCAGCGAACCTGGCCTCCCAACGGCTGGAAACCTTGTTCTACTGTTACAACTACAAGCTTCACACACTAGGTGTCACTTTGGTGTTCGTGTTCCATACTCAACCTATAAACCCAGTTAGCATCCTGATTTGATCTCATTACTAATAACATTGCATTTGTTTTAGGTAAAATCATAATTTTCATTTCACTAGTCCATGTATGAGCTCCATTTTCATTATTAATCAGCCAAAACTTCACTTGTAGCTGGTAATCAGAGCCTGCGGTCTCCTGAGGTTCTGAAGTTGCACCACTGCTTGCTTTACTGACCTTTGGTCTTAATGTTATGGCTCATTAGTTATGGCTTACCAAACCATGCTTTTGATCTGTGTGTTTTAGTCTTGTTCTGCCCTTCACTATGTCTGTGTTCGATGTGTTTGAAGAGACTTTTTCCCATTTGCTGGTTTATTTGAATGAAAAAAAAATGTAACTGTCAACAATTATCAGGCTCTTAAGCAACCAAAGTGTTAAACTTTGCAGATTTCTTCAGCTTGATACCATTGAGTATTTCTGCAGATCTGCCTGGGAATGTGCTCCAGAACAAGTTGAGGGTCCGACTGGTTTTCCACTGGTTTATTGGTAAATGCACCTTAAAATAATCCTGCAAATGAACACATCAAAACAAATTTCAGGTGTAAAGGAGTTGCATGTTTTCTGCCTAATTCTGAATGTTTAACCACACACTTAAAATGTATAAATAATGAAAATGTTAAAATTAGTGAGTAATATTTATTGATGTAGGTGGTGATGTTTTATACTCAGTATGTCAGCATTTTTAATCTTAATAATTATTTGAGCTCCTTTTTTATTATTATTTTTTTCTTTCCTTGAAATTTTTGTTGTTCTAGTGAAGCACCTTGTGATTTTTATCTAGGAAGGAGCTATGTAGAAAAATAGTTCCTCTTCAGTCTGTAGCTGTTTAGCATTGTGTGCTGGTGATGTCATCATATCTGTGTAATGTTAATAAATAGTATGTTGGGTTATATAAATTGCTTTAAGAGCTATTTATATTATTAACACCACTTGAGACCAATAAGCTGTGATACTCTATTTAAATATAGAATGTCACCTTGCCTGGTCTTTATTTGTTTTAGTCAGAAGATTCTAGGATTCTTTATTCAAAAGGGGATTGCACACACTTCGTTTTGATTCAAGAAACAGTCAGGTTTATAAAAGTAAGAATTTATTTTTACAAACAATTAAAACTTGACAAATTGGTTAAACTATTATTTACTGTGAGTGGATGGAACTAAAAGGTGATGTCTGGAACCTATGTGTGAATATAATATACCATAAATCCTCTAATACAGGCCCTGGCCTGTATTTGACTCAAGCTCATCAAGCTCCAGGTCTTTATTGGAAGGAGGACCAGAATTAGAGGCAGGCCTCTATTTCTATTTGAGCAAAATGAACTAATGGTTCGCTGGAGTTTTTGACAATTAAAATTGCGCCCACATTTTCAAAGTTAAACACATTTCTTTTAACAACAGTGGTTTCTGCTTCAGCCCTCTCCCCCCTCCCCCTGCGCAGCGGCTGCAAACTCACTGATGCGCCTGCAGCCTCTCAGAGTTCCTGCTGCTCTAAACATTAAAATAATTATTTCATTTTCTGTTCCTCACTTCTGATTACCTTCAATGGCGTCTGTTTGTTGCAACCACCAGGTACAAAAAATAACTTGTTTTTATTTGACTATTTTTCTGTCCCGTATCTGTTTATTATCTTCCTGCATCTCCTCTCAATCCTAAAGAGAAACTGCTACCTGGGTTCATATATATATTCACCTTATGAACTGCAGTTCTAAAAGATCTACCGACCGCAAAAATAGCGGAGTGCTCGCCGGCCGCATCAGTTAGGTGCGCCACCGAGGACAAAACAGGTGATGTGCCCCGATCCACAGCAGCGAAACGCATCAGGCACAAATAAAAGAATAAAAGACAGAAAATATAAAAGGAAATGAGCCGACATGAACGATTGCGTGTTAAATTTGTTTTTGAGGTGGCGACACCTTGTTTGATAATGTTACTGTGGCCGTGCTCAGGACGCAGATGTCTGGAGCGCGTCAACAATCAGAGCTTTGCATGTGTAAGCTGGTTAAGGTTAGGATGGGGGTGAGGGGAAGGTTAAATTGCAAGAGGGTAAAGGTCACAATTTGGTTAAATGTCCGTTTTACCGTGGGTGTCAGTACCGACGCTCTGGCACAGCGCTTTGCCTCCCGACGCGCAGGAGCTCCTCACCTGCTGACAGCAGGCTGCTGTCTTTTCCGAGGACTGCATCTTGCCGGTCATTATCACATGACAGCGACTAGTTGATGACGGGCATAAAAAGTCACTATAGAGCGGTGAAGTCGACTAGTGACTAGTTCATACAACTCCTGCTACTGCTCCCCAGAGTGTTCTGCAGCATAATCAGCACGTTCTCTTTGAACTTGATATCAAATTTTTGCCTCCTCTTCGTCTCCGCACGGTTAAAGTTACCCTCGCGGTCTGTCACTGGCAAATCAAAAGTGAGACGGATGACACAACTGCCCCCCGTACTTGCTTGTTACCACATTCCACCCGCCACAATAAAAAAAAAACGGCCATTATTCACCTCCGCCGACTCCGACACCGGCCAAAATATGATACCCGGCAGTTAATTAAATGCAGGCTAATATTAGAGGATTTACGGTAAATAAACACATTTTAAGGGAGTAATAGGGAAAAGGAGATTGACACCTTTCAGCATGTGCATTTCCTGCTTTTTCCAGCAGTGATATTGCTAATTCTGTTGAAGGAAATTCACTGTTTAATGAGAGACAGCTGGTGAAAATGATATGTAAATAAGTAAGAATGCATGTAGACCTACATAATTAAAGGCACAATCCGTAAAATGACACCGTCAGGGTGAGGAGGAGGAGATTTTTAAATTCGAACGGCTGTTGCTCACTCCCCCGCCCTTCCTGAAAGAGCCGAAAGCCACACCTCCTAATGTGCACGCGCAGGAAAAGCCGAGTCAACACCAGAGCGTTGCTTCTTCATAATAGAGCTGAGCTAGTGTTAGCAATGGAGTTATCTGAGGTAAGAAAGTTGTTTTTAACCAGCACATTAAACACTTACTGTTTACAAAAGGCATTTTATAAAGAATATCTATAAATATATTTATATTTTAAAATACCGGTAACAGTTGACAATCTATATTGTAAATAAAATTAATCCTATCAAATTGTTAGCATTTATTATGAGTAACTAGCTTATTTTTAATTGCTTTGCCATTCAAGATGGGATGAATATATCAAAGCATATAATTTATGTGGAAATCATAAATAAACACTGCATTCTGTGTGGCCCTCCTATAATCATGGTTGTTTTCATAGGGTTAATGTTTATTGTTGGTTTAGCCCAAATTTTGACTAGATGTAAACCTGATCTGTGTCAAAATTGATTAATATGCAAGAGTACTTTTTATATTAGTATAATTTTTTTTTATTCTAATACAATTTAGAGTTCAGTGATTGAGGAATCCTCTGAGGAAGAGTTTGAACCTCCCATTGCATCCTCAAGACGTGGTGCAAAAAGGAGATGCCCACCATCATCTCAAAGCCGTGGTGCATCTAGAGGCCGCGGTGCATCCAGAGGCCGAAGAAGTGCGAGACACTCAGCTGTGGACCTTGGAGATGAAGATCTCTCTCGAGTTCGGAATCTTCGTTCCGAGCGAATAGACTTTGAACGTGTAAGCATAACAAAATTACACTAAATTATCCTAAAAACTATTGCTGTAGCATCTCTTTCCACTTTTGTAGCAACACATACAGAACCTGAACCCTCAGCAGGCTATTAACATCCTTACCATGGTGCTGGACAGAGACCCTGGTGTTCTCTTTGATGTACTTGCCCTCTGGTCCAAATGCCACAACACCTCCAACATCCAATCAACCTTCATGGTGTGTATGCTCCCACTGCAGAGATATGCCAACAGCCTCCCCAGACATGTATTTCAACTGTACCACACATGGAGGAGTTTATTCTGCAAAATGGTGTTCTTCGCCTGGCCAGAACATTGTGGAATGAGTTTCATGCGGTTTATGATGACCCGGACCCCGGTGAGGACAACAGACAGTTCCGCCATGCAGCTTACAGACAATTTGTAGCGTGGCAGCACGGAAAACTTGGTGGAGGGCGCAGAGTAGTAATCCCAAGCTGTGGTCTGGAGGATGAGGGAAAAATTCCCTGACCCCAATAGTAACTACACTGGTTTTATTCCAAGACGATTGTAAATAAATGTATATATTTGATATTTTACATAAGTTTGTTTTTTTTATATATTTTTGTTTGATGCTCTAATAAAGTGTTCTAAAGCATAACTCTGTGTTGCATTTGTAAAAATACCATAAATTTTAAAACTCCTGCACAACAATAAAAACTTATATCTACCTCCAGCATTTTACATACATTTTTAAATTATTAGCCCTTATTTCCCCAAAATATAAAAAATAAAATAAATAAAACACAGGAAACAAAAATAAAGAAGGTTTTGGGTTTTCTCTTGCCTCCCCCAACACCTATGTCTGTGGCAAAGTTTTACCTGTAAATAAAAAATAAACTCAATTAGCAATAGACTATTGTGTGGAAGATGTAAGGCAGATAATGTTTTATTTTACCATCACCGCAAGTCCGTAGGTGTTGTAGAAGTTCCTCTGTTGATGGTGCAGGGACTCCGGACAGCAAACCATAACGCCTTGGATCCTCAGGCCTTAGCTTGTAGCGTCGAGGAAGACCTTTCTTGCTTGTCAAACGTTGGTTGACGATCATGGTTTGGATCTCTGGGATGTAGGAGTAGTCTTTTGCCACCTTCTCAGAATACAGCCTCCAGCATCTTGATTTTTTGTTGAATATTTTATGGTATCTGAAATGACACATACCATAACTTGTAGTAGAGCCCTGCACTGAAGCCCTAGGCCCTCGGGTCGGCCCAGCTCGATGGCCCTCGGGCCGGGCTTCAGGCCAATGACTGTGTAATTACCTCGGACACGGGCCGGGCTCCTTTATTTTTAATCTAATTCATAAAAAAATTGAAACACTTAAACCAGGGGTCGGCAACCTGTTCCCATCAAAGAGCCATTATTACCCGTTTCCCACAGTAAAGAAAACACTGGGAGCCACAGCAGCCGCGGCGTTGTGGGCGGGGCCTACCCTCAGATAGCAGAGAGCTGCTCACAACAGGTGACAGCAGCCGGTACCGGTCGCTCGTGTACGTCAAAGTTATCTTTCATAAGACGATAATCAATAAAACGATTTCTATAAAGTGGATCCAGTCATGAACTGTATCCTCTATGTTAATTTCTTGCAGAGTCTCAAGTTGTAATGTTTTTTGTAATGCTGCTCCGGTCCTGTATTATCTATGCGCTATTGCAGTTTTATAGAATGTTAAACGAAAGGAATTACCTTATGTGTGTATAAGGTGTGTAGTCCTCATTACCGCAGTCATCAGTACCGCTGTCCATCTCGATGGTTTCGTCCTCCTCTGAAGACGAATCAACTTCTGTTTCTCTGTTTGGTGACCATGTGTCATCTGATGACTCTATCCTGAATATACACAATATAAAGTTTTTAGTATGGAAAATTAGACACATTTTATTAACATCTGAATACTTACACAGAGTTCTGAATATTGTTGAACTCTTCCTCATCAATGTTTTCTTCAATTCCCACACAAGATAACCTAAAAAAGTAATTATTGTTTACTTTTCCTAACAAATGTGACAGCCGTATACAGATACAACCTTGTACTTACATTTGTGAAGATCCTTCTTTTTTAGTTTCACCTTGTTCCATCACCTCCTCCAAATTATCATCCCTATGAAAATAAAATACAAGCACAAGAATATGATTAGAATCAATACATATTTTGTCATTTTGAAGGTAATAGACCTCGTCTATTGGCCGTCATCATCACCCTCTCCTTATTTTTCTCACTCTACTAATTACGCATTTCTCTGCATCCACTGAATTCCTTCTTTACAAATAATTTCCTGTCTCTCTCTTTACATTTTAAAACACAATTGTGTTATTTTTTTCTCATAAACTTTGAAATAAAAATATAATTTTTTAAAGTATGTTTAATTTTGTTGTTGTGAAGTGCCTCAAGAGTTTTATCTTGAGAGGCGTTATATAAAATGTAGTTTTACTATTTATTTCTATACATTTTTTTATAGTCATTCATTATCCCATTTCTAGAATTTTTTCAAAATAATCCACCACTAACTTAAAACAAACAGAGGCAAAATTATAATATTCCTGGTAGAGGTTTTTACGCAGCTATTTACCTTTCAGATGATTCTCCATGAAAAAAACCTAAAATCCCCTTTCGTTACTCATACTTCTTCCAAATATAGCATAAATAGTTCGACTAGCATCGATTCATGTCGACTTAGCATTCAAGCAAATGCTACATTAGCCAATAGGACACCAAGCATACAAAGCTTGTTTGCTCTATTACTTCTTTCAGTGAAAGATAGATTATAAGTAAATTTATCCGAAAAACAATAAATAACTTACCTGTCTAAAAGATACTTTGCCAACTCTTCATCCATTTTCAGGTCGTGTAGATCACGAAAATCTCTCCATCGTGTGTAAAACAATCTCCAATGTAAATTCTACTCGACTGTCTTAAACGTCTTACAGCCACTTTTGAAGAAGGGCTTTTAAACTTTTTAAATGTTTTTTGAGATGTGGAAGGCAGTCGAGGAATCGGTAATTTGGGGTTTTGTTGCTCCATGTTTCTGCAGTAAACCGAGTGAGGCACGTGACACTGTTGTGCACGCTGAGACCTGCTCGTGCTCGATGATTGACAGCTGCCCCCTGGTGGTAACGCAGCGCTATTGGTCAACGCGTTAGGCTTGCAGAAATATTGGCTGAGCTCTACAGGGCAGGGGAGGGACTTAGGAGAAAATTGAAATATTAAAGATTATTTACTTTTTTTAATAAAATTGGGTCAGATGGTCAAAATCAAACATTTTTAAAGTTATTCTACATTTAAATGTTGCAGACTGTGCCTTTAAGCAAAACTGAAACACTAATATAAAGAATATATATATATATATATATATATATATATATATATATATATATATATATATATATATATATATATTTTTTTTTTTTCTCTCCCTTTGAATCTGGGAGGGTGGAACCCCAGCTCCAGCTATGGACGAGCCCTCAGGGGGCCCAACTTGATATTTTTTCATGGGGCCCAAAATCTCTGGCAGCCCCCCTGACCACGCCTACTAAACATCCCCCCAGCCTGGTATTATCTTCAGCTGACCTAAAATACAGCTGATCTCAAACATCGGATGCAAACTTGAGCCATCCAATTTGAAGACATTCAACAAGCTAAAACAGGTCAGAATTTAATCATACATTAATTCATGACAAAAAAGCATACTGAGGTAAATAAAAACAGGAAATGTGTTGCAGTGACAGGTAAGTTAGTTGAGTACTACTGTTTTTGTTTTCTTTTAGTTGAAAGTGTTTAGCTTTTATTTTCAGATTTTCCCAATCAGTGCATTTAGAAGCTTGTAGTAAAATGTGTTTCGGTTTACATTTAATGTCGTCTTGTGATCTTGAAACTTTTTAACTTTCACGAGTCTTTCGATTTGCTTTTTAATATGTTACTGATAAACCTTCGCTGGGTCAGCAGATGGGGGAGTCTTTCATTAGGATGAATGTAACAAAGGGATTTTCTTAAATTTCTCTTTTATCAGATTTATTTTTCAAAGTATCATGGCTACTTAATAACTTTGTACAAAGACACCCACACCTAATTTTATGCTGTTTAAAGTTAGAAAATATGCAAAGGAAAAGAAAAGATTTCTATACCCGTGTGCAATCATTGAGGCTCAGTCACTGATCAGCCAGCTCACACCTGATTGAATCAGGATACAAACTGAACTTTAGCCAAAGTAAAACCTCACGTCTGGGTAAACATTGCTCAGTAGGGTTGCTGCATGCATTCTTTGTTAAGAATGAAGTAAAAAGTGAAAAGGAAACTACCAAACACTGCTTTCTGCTCCACTCTCATGGTCAAGTTCAGGTGGGGCTTCTCGCTCACAGAATATCAACTAACAGGAATTCATACAGGAATGAACAAGGTGCCACTTTCTTTTTTTTATTGTTATAGAAGTAGGTCATATCTCTGAGTAATGCTGGAGTCACCAACAAACTTTTAATGTCATTTTTGGGTATGTGAAAAGGGAAAAAGGATAAAATTACTTTCAAAAAACATCCATTCATCCATTTTCAGCCACTTATCAGGGTTGCGGGGGCAGCATAAGTAGGGAGGCCCAGACTTCCCTCTCCCCATCTACTTGGGCCAGCTCCTCCGAGGGAATCCCAAGGCGTTCCCCGGCCAGCCGAGAAACATAGTCTCTCCAGCGTGTCCGGAGTCTTCCTTTAGGTCTTCTCCCGGTTGGACGTTCCTGGAAACTCTCACCAGGGACGCATTCAGGAGGCATCCAACCAGATGCCCAACCTTTCAAAAACCAAGAATTTTTTTTTAATGTTCTAATGAAAGGACATTAAACTGAAGATGTTTTTTTACAGATATGTTACTTATTATCTTATTAGAAAGTAAATCATTAAATCTTACTCTGGATACTTTGAGGTCAGAGGTGGTTTAGTGTGATTTTGGAGAAAAGGTTTAAGAGATTGAATCATTAAATGTTGTCTTTCTGTTGTTTCCTTGCAGCTTCATCATGGTGTTTAGAGTAGCAGTGATCGGAGCGGGCCCCTCAGGTCTGACCAGCATCAAGGCGTGTCTAGATGAGGGCTTGGAGCCAACCTGCTTTGAAAGCAGTGATGATATGGGTGGTCTGTGGAAGTTCAAGGCAAGTCATCACTTTTTCAAAAAGAACATTTTTCTTGCCCGCAAATAGTTTGTGTGAAAATCAATTAAAAGTTATCAGATTTTGGCACCACCCCGTCTGTCTTGAGTCTTCTTGTTATGTCATAACTGTATCCCCGCAGGAAGTCTCAGAGCCCAACAGGGCCAGTATCTATCATTCCCTCACCATCAATTCCTCCAAAGAGATGATGTGCTACAGCGACTTCCCCATCCCAGCTGATTATCCCAACTACATGCACCACTCTAAAATCCTGAAATACTTCAGGATGTATGCAGAGCACTTCAAACTACTTGAACACATTTGCTTCCAGGTAAAAACAGAAGAAAGATTCCCCAAAGTAGTTTAAATAGAAATCTGACAAATCTTAAAGTTCAACTGATATTTTTAGACCTCAGTGAAGAAAGTCACACAGAGGCCAGATTTCTCTCGCACTGGCCAGTGGGAGGTGGTCACGGAGAATAAAGACGGACTAGAGGAGAGACACATCTTTGAAGCAGTTATCTGCTGCACGGGTCACTACACCTATCCTAACCTGCCACTCAAAGACTTCCCAGGTAAATGTGTGTTAAAATAGATTTCATGTTCAGACAAAGGCAAGGCAACATTATCATGCTGTTTTGCAGGAATTGAGACATTTGAAGGAAACTACTTCCACAGTTGGGACTACAAAGGAACAGAGAACATGTATGGTAAGAGGGTGGTGGTCATCGGCATCGGTAACTCAGGAAGTGACATCGCTGTAGAAAGCAGCAAAGTGGCAGAGCAGGTTCTTGTTTCACTTGTCTTAAAACAGACTATGTCTCCAAAATCTGAATGGATGTTGATTTGGTTGCTTGTCCAACTGCAGGTGTATATGAGCACTCGTCGTGGTGCCTGGGTCATCCGCCAGGTTTCTGATAATGGCCTACCTGTGGACATGAAGTACAACACAAGATTTGTTCACATCCTGTTTCAGCTGCTGCCAGTCAACATCCTAAACTGGATAAGCGAGAAAAAAATCAACTCCATGTATGATCACACCATGTACGCTCTTAAACCCAAACACAGGTAGGTGCTGTTAGGATTAGGTTCCTGGGGGAAAACTGAAAAATCCTTTAAAGGCACAATGTGTAAAACCGTTCGACTCTTTAGTTCCATGCTGTTCAGCGATGGTATTGCAGTTACGGTAGCCCCAACACATTCTCACACCCGAAGCGTGGAAAAATGACGCTGGGTGACCAAGCGTTTGTTTCCGACGCGTTGGGAGTCCCAACGAGTCGGGCTTGATGAGGTCCCAACAAATTTGACGTGTCTTTCCATTCCGTTTTTTTTTTCTTTTTTTTTTTTTTGTAATTCAAACTAACCAAGTACAGCAACAGTGTATACATTCTCTTCTTCTTCATAGTTGGTTTGGCAGACTTCATGCTTCCAGGGCATACTGCTGCTGTTTCCTTTGGTCTTGTCAAAGTGCAAATGCTATACGCTATATTATATTTTGTATAAAAGCAGCTAAACAGCAGCACAATGATGCTTGACTATGGAGTGTTGACCACAGTAAATAATGTAAAATTTCAAGACATGAGAAAAACTAATAGTAGACATTGGTGAGGAATATTAATGAAAAAGGACATGTTTGTGAATGGGATACACATAATATGAAAGTAAACAAGTAAAATAATTACACATTGTGTTTTTAAGACTATCATTAAAATATATCATCATGTCTACTTTGAACATCTTTTGTATGTCCGTTCTGTGTAATCCGTCAAATTCCATTGGTTCATTTCTAAACACATTGTAGGAAAGATTTGATTTACCTTTTAAGCTGACACGTTTTGGCTAACACTGTAGCCCTCCTCAGAGTGCCGCTGATGTTGGTGGCGGCGCTTCCTTCTCTGTTTATCTGCAGGCAGCAAACGCCAAAATAAAATTATGGAAACATTATGTGGATGACATTAGAAATCATTTCAAAGGGACAAACAGAGACACTAACAGAACACCTGAACAATACCAACGACACAACAACATAAAGTTTACATATGAGGAAGAAACAGAAAGCAGCATAACTTATGAACATGAAAATAACCAGGCAGAGAGACGGGACCCTGAACATGAATACATACAGGAAACCATCACACACAGAGACCAATATTTATTGTGGACATCAGAACATCCTACCGAACATAAAATGTCAGTGATCAAAACATTATACCACCAAGCATACATAATAACAGAAGAACGAGACTGCGGACAAGAGGACCAAAAGACAAACCAACACAAAGAATCAAAAATCCTGAAAGACAAGAACCAAACCCGGTAATAACCCTTCCATACATCAAAGGCATAACAGAAAAAATAAAAACAATGAAAAACACAACATAACCACACCAACAAAACCATACATGACAGTCAGAAAAAGACTAGTACATCCGAAAGACAAGATATCAGCAAGACATATGTGTGGAGTCATTACCAAAATACCATGCTTACCTCTGGTATAAAACATACATAGGAGAAACCGGACGCCAACTCAACACATGAAAAATAGAACATAGAAAGGAGTGTGAGAAGGAACCAAATCGAAGACACAAGAGCAGTGAAAGAAGAAGCAGAAAATACAATAAAGAAATCAGCCATAACAGACCACTGCACAAGGGAGAATCATATAATGGACTGGGACAGAACATGGTTCATAAACACAGAACAACAAAAAAACAAAAGATGGATTCAAGAAGCCATAGAAACAAGGTGGGGTAGACCCAGGACCATAAACAAAGATGATGGAGTTTAAACATTGGATCGCTGATGGGACATTGTCGTCGGCAAGGACGTTGCGGGCAGTAGAGGGTAACATCTTCCTCTGCTGCCAGTGGATAAACGAAGAAGGAAGAGATGCCTCCAACATTGGCGGTGCTCTGAAGAAGGCTACAGTGTTAGCCAAAACTTGTCAGTTTGAAAGGTAAAAAATCTTTAAAGTGCTGTGTTCAGAAAATAACCAAGCAATGGGATCATGTCTGCTGTTTTGTATGCATTTTGAAAGGTTCTTCAGTCAGATCCCAGTGGTCAATGATGACCTACCCCTGAAGATACTGTCAGGATCCGTCATCATCAAACCAAATGTGAAGGAAATCCATGGCTCCACGGTGGTGTTTGAGGATGGCAGCATTGCTGAAAAGGTCAGGATTGTCATAGATTTGTTTGCAAAACTTTTATTGGACTTTTAAGGTACAATATTTAAGAAATTTACGGTGAAGTAATCACAAAACAGTCCCTCTCAATCAGCGCTGGACTGACCATAGGGCATAGCGGGCAACTGCCCGCTGGGCCGACCCTTTCATCTTTTATGGGCCGGTGTCTGTTTTTTTTTTTTTTCTTTTTTTTCCTGGCCTCTAGTTTTTGCGGACAACTTGCCCGCGCCGCCCCACGCGACGCCTCGTAAAAGTTGGTGGATTGGCCAATTGGTAATAATACACTCTGGGCTGGACCAATAGCCAGAGGTCTGATGCACCCGCCAGTTGTTTGTGAATCTCAGTAAACAGACAGACGAGCTTTACAAAATGGAGAACAAAAAACGGAAAGGAGGAGCGGAGAAAATTAGACTAAAAAAGAAACTGGCCCTTCAGGCTGATGCTGGCACATGTGTTAAAATCTCATGTTTGGTAGTGAAGGTTCAAGTAAAATCAATTTAGGAAGTGATGGAGCCTCAGCCCAGCGACAGGTTGGAGAAGAAAAGAGGGAGGAGGAGGAGAAACCCGAGCCGGTGTTGTGCCATAAATTGACTCGCTGCCAAAAAATGATTAGCCACCGCGGGATCGCGCACGGTTAGGTAATTGCATTTCTAGACAAAATTCCCCAGGATTTCGCCCGAAAACTCAGCATATCTAGCAATATGGACATTCAGAAAGCAAAGATAACCTCTTCCGGTACTTAAACAGATGTTTATAGCGGATATTAGTGTGGCAGTGTTTGTGGCACCCTGCGCGGGAGCACGAGGACGTGCTTGTGGAAAGAGGAGGAAGATGTGGCAGTGTGAGCGTCCTGTCACAGTGTCCCGATTGATCATGCGCCCTGGCTACTGGGCTAAGGAAATGTCCCTTTGGCTGACTGGTTAGAGCGTATGACTCTCACCCGGGAGTCTAGGGATTGAATCCCGCCCGGGCGTTCGTTTCTCCACCTTGCCACATAAGTTTTTCCAGTTTGGAAGTTGTTTTAAGTGTTGCTATTTGTCTTAAACGTTCACAATGAGGATATATTAATCCTTTTTGCAATATTTGCGATTGAAAGATGGTTTGTGCCACAAACTTTGTGGTAAGAACTGGCTTTCTTTATGTTACAGCCTTGATACTAAAAAAATAAATAAACAATGTAAAATGGCACCCTGTATTGAATGTAAACGTTGTATAAATGGAATTAAACAATTCTCCAGCGATTTAATTTTTTCCCCTTCCTTTCTTTAGTCCACTTGACATGGAGCCACAGTTAACTAGTTTGGGGCACATTTTTACTTGAAAAAAAGTATTTAAAATAATCAAGCTTTGGCTTTAATGACACTGTGTAAGTTGCTATACATTACGTTGCTCTATTTAAAAGTAACAAGATAAAAGCACTTCAGCACATAAAATTAAGATTGTCACTTGCCAAATAGACTACACCCTCCCGTTTACCTATAAGAAACGCCTCAAAATATCTTTAAATTCTTTATTGATGATTTAATTGTAGACAACTAAAATGGCATTTTACTTGCCAGAAAGTGATTGAATCGCTAAGATTTTCATGGAGGCTAAAATTGACCAAATAAGGGTTTTATGTATTATCTGTTGATGTTACTGTACTCATACTGCCTACTGTATCATCAAAAACACCCCAAAATGGCAACAAAAAAAAAAAGAAGAAAAAAAAGATAATTTCCCTTGCCAAAAATTGATTACAGTGTCCTGGTCACCTGTAAAGGGTAACATTTACCTAAATATTACTTTATTTATTATCTCTTGATGTTATTAGTGCCATCACAGGATGCTGGGTGTCTTTCACATTCATAAACACCTCAAAAATGGCAACAAATGATCATTTCCCTTGCCAAAAGTTGATTACAGTGTCCTGGTCACGTGTAAAGGGTTAAATTGACCTAAATATTACCTTATTTATTATCGCTTGATGTTATTAGTGCCATCACAGGATGCTGGGTGTCTTCCACATTCATAAACACCTCAAAAATGGCAACAAATGATCATTTCCCTTGCCAAAAATTGATCACAGAGTCCTGGTCACCCATAAAGGCTTAAATTGGCATAAATATTACTTCATTTATTATGATGCTGGGTGTGTTCCACAATCATATTCGAATAAACATGAAAATATTCTGTCCGAATATCTGTTTCTTGTTATAAATATAACAGCTAGAAGGATTTACAGTTAAAATAGGAGAAACACATGACTCCCCAGGAAGGGTCGTAACACCACTTGCCTCATGCACATAAGTGAACAAATCAAAGCAGCATGGAGACACTCCGTCTCCAACCACCTCTCAGGCAGCAGCCTGCACTCCCAAGTTCTACACGTCACCAGAACATAAACAACCGCAACACAATAAAAGCAGTGTTATACAAAATGGAAGGCCTGTAGTGTTTATTCTCTTACAGTAACAACTTATCAATTTTTTGGAGGAATTTATTTGAGAATTTTTTGGTTTTTATTAATTGTGCAATAGAAAAGTAATCGCTAGATTAATCATCTAAATAGTCATTAGAATAGTCAACTATTCGATAAAATAATCGTCAGAATAATCATTTTAAAAATAATCAATTACCCCCAACCCTACTTTTTAGAATACCAGGATAGGAAGGATGGTGTAGGTTTACGTTTATTAGATTGATACATAAATACTACCAATAAGAAAGTGTACGTTGGTGTGTGTCAGAAACAGCGTAAGGCTTAATGTCTTTTCCAAAAAAAACAGGTGATGGGCCGGTCTCCAGTCAAAATGCCCGGGCTGAATTTTTGTCCCAGTCCAGCCCTGCTCTCAGTCATGTTGGAAGGAAGATTACACTGAAACAGATTTCCTTCTCAGCCAGCCGGGGAGGGGGGTTGTCAGATTTTTTTCCTTTCAAAAAAGCTAAAGAGTCATTGTTTATCATCTGTGAGCACATGGGGTCGCACCTGCAATCTCTGCTGCATTGGTAATTGTATGTTGACACGAACAGTAAAAAATCTCCAGTGTTGTTTAAAGTTGTAGAACACTTGTTTAATCAATACATTTGCAATGGTCTCTTGTAGGAATGAAAGCCTTGTGAGTCATATTCTGGGGGTGGGGGTGGGGTGTGTGTGTGTGTGTGTGTGGGGGGGGGGGGGGGCTGATGTGCCTGTTTCAGGATCTAGAAGTGAGCCACATCACAGCTGACCTTCAGATAACAATATTTGGAGTCTTATTTTCTGATATTTGAACATCTTGCCTCAGATTGGATAACAGCAACACAACTCTACCACTGACTCTGTTTTCTTTGCAACATTGACATTTTATATCCTCAAATGACACAAGCCTGGAGGAGTTCTGCTGTGAGGTGGAGTTGCTAATGCTAATGGTAAGTTTATTCTAGTCAAGAAGTTCTGTTTGCTGGACGCTAAAACAACAATGGCCTTCCCAGTCACGATTCAAGATGAATGGGTCCATTAATGTTAAGTGACAGTGTGACGTAGATCTATCAGGATTTTCAAATCCTTGAGGTTCACTGTCTGTTTTCCATCAGAAGCTAATGCAGGAAATAGGTGTAGGAGACTATTTCATGTTCAGCCTGCACGAAAAACCCAAAGTCACCGATTAGAAGCCATCCATCCATCCATCCATTGTATGAACCCGCTTTGTCCACGTAGGGTCACGTGGGGGCTGGTGCCTATCTGCAGCGGTCAATGGGCAACCAGGCGGGGTACACCCTGGACAGAGGATTAGAATCAGAAATAAGAAAGAAATAAATAAATTAGTTTTTTTAGTGTACCATATCTGTCACGATATGGTGTTGGAGGACCCAAATATGCAGTACCAAGGATGACACGAGGCAGGGATGAAGGTTAAGTAAAATCCTTTATTTAAAAGGAGAGCCAAAAATAAAGTAAATCCAAGGCTGTGAGCCAAAATCCAAAAACCAGATTAAGATCTGGAAATCCAAAAAACTGGTTTATACACAGAGAAACAAGACTGACAGAACTACAAACAATGGACCGACAAGAACAATGAAACAAGGAGAGGCTTTATACACTGGGGTTGGAGTGATAGGAGACGAGGAGCAGGTGTGTGGAGTGAGGGCTGGAGGGCAGGTGACAATAATTACCTAAATGGGGAAACAGAACCAAAGGAGGCCAGATAAACCTAAAACTACAAATCCAAACTAAAAGGCTGCGGGAAGGACTAACACACACACACACACACACACACACACACACACACAGAGAGAGAGAGAGAGAGAGAGAGAGAGAGACATACGAAAATAACTCACACACACAAACTGGGCTGGGGAACAAGAGGCTGGAGCTGCAACTGGAGGGACAGAGGGTAACTAAATGAACACTGGACCTGAGGGAATGACAAAAAGGCCTACAAACAGAAGACACAACATAGAGACGCAGATAAAGGACACATGAGGGCGCTATGAGACACAGAAGGGAAACTAGAGAGGATGGGGAAACATCAGGAAACACATAAAGGAGGGGGCAGACACAGACCATGACAATATCTTTAAAAAAAACAGTAAATTAAGCAGCCCAGAATTATTTCTTGAACCCTTAAGAAGACACTATCAGGTGAAGATGGCTAGAGGCTAATGCTGAGCTATTGCTACAGGCAAATTAGAAACAAATCTCAAGCTACTTTTTCAATGACCAACAACTCAGTATTACAGGAAAATGTGTGTGTGAAGTGAATAATGAGCCAATTGTGGCATTTTACCTCCTTTAATGAGTCCTTCAGTACCAGCTTAGTGGTGGGCTGGTATGAGTGTCTTGCCTGAGACTGGGACATTGTGGGTTCAAATCCTT